ACCGTGCCTTTTCTCCGCATTGTGGCCGGTAAAAGTAGCAAATAAAAAGTGTTTTTTCAAAAATCTTGGTTACTTTGTGATAATGTAAAATCGTACAACATTAAACCCATTTGGTCTATGTATACAGTATATATCGATAACAAAATGTACTACTATAGCCGAAACACAATTCAACAATGGCAATAATAACACGAAACCTTTTGTTATAAACCGGAAAAATAAAATACAGTTTTTATAGTAGCGATTTTGACTTTTATTGAATTAATAATTATAAACAAAAATAATATGTTTTATAAATTATCATACGGGCTATAACGTAATATTTAAAATGTCAAATTTTAATGAATTTCATTACATCTACCAACTGGTCATTATAGTATTTTATTTGTACATAAACAAAACCAATAGATATTACCCAATTTGTATGCGACACAAGTACTGTTGCTGAACATCTATGCAATTATATGAATTAATTATTGGAAACAACACGGTTTGATCGCGAAGGTGGTATTGGTCTAAAGTCAACCCGGTCCTTGTCCTCGTCATAGTTGAAACCCAGTTTGTCCAAATGAGTGTTTACGTGTTCAACGTGTTCATTCATTTTGGTAATAGCAAACGCGTAGGTCTCTTGACTACCACGTTCGACTATTAATTGATATATATTCAACGGTTTGTATTTCACTTGACAATTGACGATCAAAAATGCCTGCAAGGATTCGGTAGTGCGGGACAGTGTATCGGTGTAATTTAATCCACTTTCTACTCCGGTAAAATATTCTTTTAGACTCCGACGTGTGAGAAAACGTCGAACCTGCAACATTTTTTGGTAAAATACATTCGAATGAACGTCGTCGACAATAGTGTCGTGGATGTGCTCGAATGTGCGTATCACTCTTATGGCGGTGACCGAAGTAGGCGGTAGACTAAGTTCAAGTGCTTGCCAACAATCTTTCATCACATTTCTTGTTCGCGACAATTTATTACACCGGTCAATCACAATGGCCGCCAACTCTAGTACCCGGCTAAATCTTTGCCCGTAATCGCATCCCATCATCAGAGTTATTATTTCGAACTTTTTCTTTGTCTCGGGTATACGAGCCAGATCGTTATTCAACCCCAGCAATAAGTCGACCGTCGCCCACTGGTCGTCCTCTAGCCAATGGTCTTTTTGGAGTACACCTTTGATGAGTTGCTGTTGAGCCGGCGTCAAGACGTTTTCCTCTGCACCCGGTCCACTGTGTACGTCCGTGACGGCAACCGCAATTATTAAAATCGGAATTATCAATTTGCTATGCATTTTGTGTAATACGGTTTCGGTTTAAGGTATTGGACACCACGGTTACTTGTACACCCGTGTAGCTGACAACTGAACCATGCAAAATACGTACGTCATAAACTGTTGTGAACACCGATTTTTATTTACCTACACATCTTTATGCGCCTCTAAGCCTGTCGATTTTTGATCGCAAACAGCTTGTTGTGATTTCAACCGTGCTTTGTAACGCGTTGTATGATTTACATCGATCGGAGTACATTTTAAATTTTCGCTTTTAATGTTATTGTAAAAATCGTCACGAACCATTTAAAATTGAAATTTCCCATATAGGAATATTAAACTTACAGAAAATAACCTGAACCGTTTATGAATACTTTATTGCCATTTTCTATTCAAAGTAGAAACATATTATGTTTTTATACAAAAATACGACCTGTATACGTTGTAGAAGTCGAACAAAGAAAATTACACATCAAAAATGTAGACCTCTCATTTCCGTTTCAATGTATATGTTTAGAATATTTAGCTTATATAATTAAGTTCAAGTGAAAAATTGTGTACGGGCCAACAGGCCTCAATAAATTCTAATGCGGTAGACGCTGCTCAATAATCAACCCATAATATAATAATATATAAAACATCATATGATCTCTTTCTTACATTTAACGCCCGTTACTACAACCGATCGGGGCTTTAGCGGTTCAGATTTGGCATTTTTGTCTTTTTCATTAAAACCGATATCATAGCGATAACGCTACAATTTGTATTGTTATTGAACGTTAATATCCATAAAAAATTACATATTTTTAAACATAAAATTAAATTTAAGTGGCACGCTAAAACTTTGTTTAAAAACAGCCCAATTCCTTACAAATTTGTATGGAATATTTTGTGTAGTGAGTAGTAGTAGTAGTAGTAGTAGTAGTAGTAAGTAAATAAGGGAGGTCTAGTATTCACAGATCAATTCATTGTATATCTAATGAAAGTTATGTGCTTAAAAATAATTACTCGGGTGAATACGGTAAGAGTTGATCGTCTGTCTATAAAAATGTATTGCCATAGTTATTAGTTGCCCATACATGGTAAGTAACAAAAAGAGAAAAAAAAATATTCCATGAAAATTCGGATTTAATTTGACGTTTTGAAAAAATTATGGAACGCCGTATTTTAAATTGAATTATAAGTACATTTTTTGGTGTTTTTAAAAAAAAAAAAATATATATATAAAATAAAAGCACATTGTTGTAAATACAATACCTTCTTAGCTACGCATTAAAACTATTACAATTTTAATTTAAAAAAAAAAATACCCTAGGTTTTACATGTGAAAACCGTTTGATATTAAAAACAATGTTGTTCATCAATGACAATGATGATACACAACCATTTATCTCCTTTTATTTCACGACAATTAAAACACAGTTTATATAGTAACACGACTTTGACTTTTATAATATATTTTATCAAATCTGTGAAAACATTTAATCCAAAAATAAAAATTTGTTTTATAAAATATCTTATAAGTTATACCATATTTAAAATGGCGTGTTTCAACGAGTTCCGTTATAAATATATATATGTTATCTGGTTATTATTTATTTTTACACAAAGAATTAAAAAAATACATTAAAAATCACCCATTCGGTGTGTAACACCGAGAGCGTTGTAAAAAGTACTATAATCTGCTCTGTGAATTGTCGAATAAAATACTGTTTGATTGTCACTGCGGTTTTACAAAGGTAGTTTGTTTTGTAAACGCGTCATAATGAAAACCCATGTTGCTCAAATGACCGGTCACGTGTGCAACGTGTTCTTTCATTTTGTTTACATAAAACTCGTACGATTTGTTCGCGTCGCTGTATCTTTTCAACGTATCCATATCTAACGTCGGGTACTCCGGTTGACACTTGGAGACCAAATAGTCCTGCATGAGAACAGTGACCTTTGATAATTCGTCGTAGTAACTAAGGCGGCCGTCTTGCCGTGTCCCGGCTGAACATTCCGCTACGCTGCGTCGGGTGAGAAAATTTCGGATCTTCTCCACGTTCCCGTGAAATTCGTCCAAACCACCAATGTCGCCACCGACAGTGGAATGTATGTATTCCAACGCGCGCATCACCTTCAACGCGGCATACCCGCCTTCTTGAAGGCCGTCTCTAAGCGTGTTCCAACAATCGCTAGTGTGGCCGTCGTCGTTCAGCCCCAAAAGATTACACTCGTCGATACCGCAATCCGCCAACGTTAGAAACCAAGTGAATCTTACGCCGTAATCGCATGCCATCATCAGAGGAATCATTTGCAACTTCTTCTCCGTGTCGGTTGCAGAACGTCGATCACCGTTTAACCCGTGGATCAAGTTCACCCACAGCCCTGGCCAATGTTGTTCTTTGAAAACACCGTCGACCAGTTCACACTGTGCCGGTGTCGAGGTTTCCCGTACACTCGTTTCGGTTTGTCCGTTGATGCCGGCTAACGCAATTATCAACATTGAAATAACTGAATTGTTATACATTTTAAACGGCGTTGAACTTTAAGATTCACAATACCGTCGAAGAGGCGCACGGCTTTAGTTGTCTATATCGAAAACTAGAATGTGCGCATATATTGTGTGTTGCGCACCTATATGCACACCTGAACTACTCAAAACACACAATTTTTTTTTCTAAACGTCATAAATTATTATAAAATAGCAAATTGTTTATACACGTACACATGCAAAATGTCTACGTAAATGTTATAAATTATTAAAACAACAATTTATATTTTATACACGTACAGTTTTTTCTAATAATCAGTTAATAAGGCGTATAAACTTTTGATTTCTTATGGAAATTAATAAAGTAAAAGCCAAGACAGTAGGGCCATATGTACGTTTATGATGAGTATGATTTTATTAATATCACATATAACCAACGAAAATGAATAAAAAAACAATCCCTTAAGACAATGTTGGGGCGTAAATATTTCAAATACCAATTTAATAAAGACTTTTTCCTCTGAAAATTTCCTGAGAAAAGTTTTTTTATGTTTTAATTTATAAATTATGAAAATACCTATAAAAAACAACAAACCAAAGGCGGATACAGTGGTTTTCAAAGATTTTAACTGAAACTCCTCAAAGCTACAAAAGAAATCTATTAATTAATTTAAAAATTGCTCTTTTGCCGTGTAGATAACAAAACTTGCGGACAGTAGACAAAGCATTCAAATTAAAACATGGTTAATAGTTTTCTGTTCTATTTGTCCAACGCATACTTTTGAAAATGTATTATGTTTGAATATTACTTTTAATGACCAATATAACGATAAAACAAAGCTAAAATATTGGCCTACCAAGTAATGATAAAATACAATTGTATAAATAGCTTTAATTAAATTGTTCATTATTTTACTGTTTATAACCACAAGCATTTTCTCTGCGATGACGCATAGTTTAAAAAAAGTTATTTTAAAGCATGAGTACTTTGCGACAATGTAAAATTATAGCCTATAGGACCCGATGACTTTATACATAGAGTACATACAATTAATTACTACTGTCAAAGCTGAAACCCCCTCCAAAAAAATGTTCATAAATAGTAATGGGAATACAAAACCCTTTATTGGTTAAATAAGCCTAGTATCACTCGGGTTTATCCAATAAGAAGACTTTGACTTTTATTATATACTTTATTAATCCAAAAATAATTTGTTTTTTAAATAGTCTTATAAGTTGTAGCATAACATATTTAACATGGTATATAATATATATGTTCAGGTTTTAACGGTACAAATATACTTATATGTATGTACAAAGTGTAAGTATAGTACTAATTATATAAGTATAATATTGCCTATTGGTACCGTTGAAAGCTGAACAACGCGAAACACACAAAATTGTTTGTCTATGACTCGAACGTCATTAGTTATTTAAACAGCAAATTGCATGAAAATCCTAATAATACATTTTGAAGTTATTTATATATATTTAGACATAATAAACGATTACTTTGTTGGTTTATTGCATTTTGTTTAACAACGCGTCTGGAAAAAAAAGATTCTATTGGACGGTATTTTTGTTATTTAAAAACGGATTCTCAAAGTTCGGCGCGTGTAAGTACATGGCAGGGGTGTTATGTATATATATATAACCCACGGGCCACGTGTATTAAAACCATATTACTTATACTATTGATTTATAATAGAAATTAATTGAGTAAAATCCAAGACAGTGGACTCAAGGCACGGTGAGTGTATTCGACGGAGCACATTAGAACTACAACAGTAGAGTTCTTCAGGAATAATTACGAGTATTATAACTGAGAGTAAGTAATTTCATCTTAAATCGCTCATTTTGGTAAATATTTAAACTGAATTATGTTATTTTTTCCTAAATAACCAAATTCTTATTTATGATCGAGCCCACTCAATTATTATTAAAAGGCCCCTATGTGATTTTTATTGAACACTAAAAATGTTTTCTTTCTACAGACAGGAACGTCACCATAACTAAGACGGTACTAAAATTGTCGACAATTATTCCAACAGGTAATTTCTTATATCATTGAATGAATTTTATCCAAATTTTTTTTTTTCAATAATCTCAGAAGGTATGACATGTTTCTTTGTTGTAAAACGACAGTCTTTTAATAAAAAGATTATTATTTTCGATTATGAGTCTTTGTGGTTGGTAAACGGTATTGGGAACGTGCAGTCTAAAATAAATAAGAAGTAGACAATATGCAGGCATACGCATGGTCCACGTTTATTCAGGTGTTTTTTAGTTAAAATATTAAATTTCAATAAAAAAAACTACAGCCGATGCCAGCGATTAAAAAAAACCTATGAGGAATGAAATAAAACAAGTTGCATATCACTGTAGTTATTTTTTTTTTTTGACAATACGAAGCAAAACCGTAATATTGAAAAACGAAAACTGCATACGATTGTTACGACAAACGCAATTAAAATTGAAATTATTAAGAAATTGTACAATCTAAATCATTAGGTTAAGAATAATTGCAAAGGTCTCACTCATTGGTGATGCATACCAAAAACTAGAACTTCTGTATAGCATAGGTACTTGTGATCATTTAAATGCTACGACGTTTAAAACCAATGACGACTATATTTTATACTAACTATTTAAATTCGAAACCCGAGAAAAAATGATTATTCAACGATAATAAATATAATATACTACATAACCCTTTATCGGTGTAATAGATGGCATATTTACACGTTGTTTTTTTTTACTCTAATCTTATAAGTAATAACGTGTTATTAAAAATAGCATTTACTATTACATTGTAAACTGCTTACGTGTAGAAAAACAAAACATTAACAATTACTCGAATCCGAGACGATTGTAATGTACCGTTGCTGCAACTACTGTACTATTTTCTACGGACGAACTTGCTCCGTTAGCCACCGTTTAGTGTAATTCAAAATTAATGATAGTTTGTCCCGTATCCGCGTTAAAACGAAAACCCAGTCGGAACAAATGTTCGTTCACGTAGAGGATGTAACGGTTAATTTTATTTAAGTAATACACGTAGCCGAATGTTCTGGGATTTCGACTTTCGTGTTCGTTCATCAATTCTTCGACATCGAACTTTTTGTAGTCTGGTCGACAGAAAGCGGGGTCAAAACGTCCTGCAAACGACCGTTCAGTGTTTTCAATATCTCCACGTAACTTAGGCCGTCGCGTAGCACAGCAGAGGATTCCACTGTGCTTGGTCGAGCGAGGAGATATCGGTTCCTCAACGGGGTCTGGTGAAATTCATCTAATCCAATATTGTCACCGACGACGGAATGCGCACATCGCCTGGGACATAGTGTACATACCCTTCCGGATACCCTCGTTAAGGCCTCTCCAGCAATTACCACTGTGGTCGTGACCTTCTAGCGACAAATGATTGCACTCGCCGACAATGTAAACCGCCAACGAGAGTGACCAACAGAATCTTATCCCGTAATCGCATCCCATCATCGGAGAAATCTTCGGAGCATCTTTTTCCTTGCCCCGGGTCTAGCATTTGGATTCGGTAAACGACTGTATCCAACCGTTTTCATCGGGAAATAGAATCAAACCACACCCCTCGCCATTATTTATATTCATCAAGAACACCGTCGATCAGGTCGTATTGATCTACTGTCGGCGTGGGATCCGCCGTCTTCGTTCCATTATTTGAGCGTGTAACGGTAAACACAATCAATACCGAAATTATTAAACCGCTGTACATTCCGAATCGTTTGGATCTAAGATTTACAATCGTATCGAAAGGCGTCGCTGCTTACGGTAGGTTATGCCAAAAACTAGAATGTCTAAATATTATACGAGGTCTGTACCCTGTAGTAGGCGCGACTGAATTTATTACAAGCTAAACTCACGAAATTGTTTGTTCACGACGTATGCTAAATGTCGAAAAATTTTAAATTAGATACTTTATTTACATGAAATTGTATTAATAAATTTAAAGTAATCGACATCTCGTTGGACGTGAAAATCAAATAATATTGTTTGTACTTTTTTTTAATAACTCGTCATGTTGGTTCACGCATGGCAAACGTGGTGTATTTTGGAAAATGGCGTGGACATTTTTTAACTTTGAAGTCATCACACTTGGGCAGGGGCATAGTGGGGCCAGAGTGGGATGGATTGGGAAAAGTTATATACCGCACCCACTTCCTGCCCCCCCCACCCCGCCAGTCTATCTGCCTCTTTTTGCAGCTGTCAGCGGTTTTCTTCAGCTACGACCCTTGGCCGGCAACCGTATGACTGATTTTCATTGCTGCTATAAATAGTTACTTGTTGTATTTTCGGCTGTCTCCGGTAGTACACGTGTACGGTACCAATCGCATGTTATTATTGATGATTTTTTTAGTGGTAAAATACTGAGCAGACATAAAATTGAAACTACAGAAAATAAGTATACTTTGTTAAACTATTAATACCATCGCAACTGTCGAGAACAAATAATGAAACAAAACTTGGTAAAACTCATACATCTACTACCAACAAAAACTATACAAATTAGTTACAAGGAAAATCATCTCTAATGGCCGAGCGTGTCTACTGATATTTTCAGAAAAAACTGTCTCATAAATTATGTACACGGCTAAAGAAAATTAATTTGTTCAAAATAATAAATAATAATAGTGGTTTTATATTAAAAAAATGACTGTCTTTTAATATTTCACACGACGATTATTGTTCATTTCAGTAACGTATACGAATCCGAAGACACGACCAGCTAACAGGTAATATGAGTAGTTAAACTGTTAAAAGAAAGAAGAATTTATATTTAAAAAAAATAGCTTTTAAATACTCTAGTAAGAAATATTAACTCAAACCAGGGTTTTGCAATCGAACTAATCGAAACCTGCATGCACACTTAATACACAAAATGTATGATCCGATTAAAAATAATATTTAAAAACAAACTTTTGGCTAAAAATACACATTTTTAACTACAATCTTTTTATCACGGTCTGAGTCAAACTGCTAAATTAACGTTATAAAACTGACGTGGTTCAATTGGACTGAGAGTAAAAATAATATGGACGAGTATGGTCGTTGATCCAAAATGTACTCATCGTTCGATTGATTTAAGCTACTTAAATGTAAATCGAGTTTGTTAACTTGAATTTATGACATTCCTTGATAAAAATTTTTAAAAAATTTTCATTTCCTGTCAATATCTTGGGCTAATAATTAACTCTTACTTAACACGCCCTACTTATAGAGTTTGAAATTCAAGTATACAATGTTATCGGATAGGAACAAATTTCGGATAGACTTTTTTTAAGAACAATATCCGGAAACAATCATATCCGACCCACTACATTTTTTTTCTATTTTCTGCCTCCTGCGTGGAATCCATGGAAAATAATATTATTATTTTTTATGTGATTGTCTATGTTACAATTCTAGAATATTCGGGACATCACTTTGTTGCAATTTTGTGAAATTAATATTTTATACATTTAACTAGGTACCTATTACTGTTAAAATTGACATAACGCTGTTTTTTTTTTAGATATCGATTGAAAATGGCTATCAATAAGCTACAATGGTTATGCTTGTTTGTGTTAACTATTTGCGTTGTTATAAGCGATATAAAATGCTTAACGCGAAAAGGTATACTTATTTTACTACAATTAAAATTTTTTTTATTTATTAATCCAATCATGTTTTGATATTATAATATAATTTATGCAAGCGTTAATTTATAATATTTTTATGTAAGTTTAAGTATCAGGTACAATATTAAATTCGCTGATTATCATTAACTGTATTTTATACTTCTCGTGTTAATTTTATATTTTACAAACTTATGATATTGTAATTTTTCTAGAATGCCGCCAATATATTCTCCGTACCAGTGAGTTAATTTTTTTTTTAAGTCTTTTGGGCAGTTTGTAACGTTACGATAGAATATTATGTAACTGAAAAACAATTAAATTATACCATTATCTAATTATGTATTGAATATTTTTTCTTCTCATTTTCTCATCCATATATTTTTTGTATAGCAAGTTTAAATTGTGTCAATGTATAGTATGATCTTACACGTTAGATAAAACAACTTATTGTCATCTATAAATCCCTATTATTAAATTTCCTCATTTTGGTATTTATAAATTATAATGATTAACCGGTCGTAACTAGAAGTTAATCAGTTCTTGGCTGGTTTGTTATGCGATGAGTATATAGGTATGTTAATCTCTCGTTATAAATAAATTACTGGTTACATGCTAGCTAGTTTATTAAATCCTACAGATTAGATTTTGATCTCATCAAATTCAAACATTTGTGAAATGGTAAAAAAAATGTGGTTCTTGTCATCAGCTTAACTATTTAATAACAATAATACTCTTCAAATGACCTCCTTTAAATTCAAACAAATTAAATAAACAATTGTTAGATAAAAATCCAACCTGTAATTTTTCAATACCATTTTCTGAAGACGGTATTAAGTATAAACAAACGTTCAACAATAATTTCGTTAAACATCAGCATGTCCAAATTGTGGTGGCCACTAAATAAACATTGGAAAAACGTGTGGGCAAATTTGATTATTATTGATCAAAAATGTTTAAAAACTAATAACACAATATCGCCTTTATATGGCAATTACAGTTTTATTTTTTTCGTGTGTTTTAAGACTTTTTGAAAGAGATTTTATCGTTTTCAATCATAATATCCCAAAAATCTTTGAAGGTCGCTTCGACCTCACTGTATATTGTTAATTATGTAAAATTCGTTTTGTTTTTAGACCATATGATTTCGCTATTAAATGACGGTGAGTGTTTGTATAATTCAAATTTAATATAATATAATTATCAATAATATAATATCGTCTTCTTCACTGGCATTTACAACTCTATTAGAGTTTTTGCCGCCATCACTACATCCCTCCATGTCTCTCGATCTTGCACAATTTCCTTCCATTCTTGCACTCCCAGGGCTTTAAGGTCCTCTTCTACTACGTCTAGCCACCTCTTCCTCGGTCTGCCTCGAGGCGTTTCCCCTTCCGGTTTCCATTCCGATTGCTGCAACTACAGAGGTTAGTATCTCTGTTAAATAAGGCGTATAAAGTGTTTTCTAAGGTGTTATTGAGTCGGTTAATACCATGCGCAGAAGAGTGCATAGGAGAATATCAATGCGGTTTCCGCAAAGGGAAATCAACAGTGGAACAACTATCGATAATTGGACAAATTATTGAGAAAAAATATGAATACCGTCAAGATTTTTGGCAGATATTTGTGGACTTTAGAAAAGCGCACGATAGCATACGTAGAGAGAGGCCCCTATTTATTTGTGACTTTTAATAAGTGGTAAAATTATGGCAATATTTAACATAATATGGGATTTTATTGGATTTCGACTACTTAGTTTAGTTTGCATTCACGTTAAGGTGTCGTGTTTAACGTATACACATTTTGTCATTATTTAAATAGTCATTTTGGTGGTGAAAAGTGACTTTACTACCATTATAAATACATAATACACCCTTGTTAAAATACCACGAACATCTTCAGGCTCCTCTAAACTTATAGACTATCAGTGCTCTGCCTATCTCCTCTAAATGTTTAGTTATATATTAAATACAAGTTTTTTTGTACTTTGATTTCAGATCAAAAATACGAACTAGTTGAATATCTCTTACGTGAATTCGATTATGGTATTATTATTCATATATTATTATTTTGTATTTAAGTAAAGTCATCTATACAATATGATATCATGTAGGGTATTGATTTGCCATTGGTTACCGAATATTTATGTTGTTCTATAAATATATTAATCCGATAATAATATTTACTTGGCTACTAATATTTTACACATAAATTGGTATTTAAGAGCAAAATAATCAATGCCTTTACCACGTTGCGTACAATATCATTACATTGAATAGGTAGTTATATAATATAATGTAATTAAAAATATGATGTCAAAGGAATCGTTAAATTTGTAATGGTTTTGCTAAACGTTTACACAATACTAATTACTTGTATTTTATTTCAGAGGGAATAATGGAATTTATAAACCCGCCAGGTAAACTATAATATTATGTTCATACTATCAGGTGATATTGTTTTTTTCGTTAAGTTGAGGTTTTTTATTTTTATTTTTTTGTAATTATGTTTTTTTTTAAGTCGTGGATACTTCAATTATGTATCAGACGTCAACATTTTTTGTGAATTTTCTCTAGCGCTAACGTTTATTTGAATTTATTTTATTTTATCATTTCTGTTCAGTCATAACTACAAATCTATTCAGAGGACGGCATATTTCCGTAATTTTAAATGTTAATGCTAGAGAAACCGTAAATTGTTTTCATTCTAAATGTTCAATAAATATGGTAAACTGATACATTTTTTATCAAAATTAATTTACTACGATAAATATAATAGGCGTTTTTAAATTAAAATGTTGATAAAAGTGTATTTCATCGAACGCTTAAATAAATAGGGGATGTGGCACCTCATTTAATATAATATCTTTTTCAGATAATGCGTATCTTGAAGAAGTGGATGCAAGCGGTAATTTTTCAAATAATAACTAAATTTACTTGTAATATATTTTTGTGATATTAATTCTTTCTAAAATTTAAAGTTGGTTAATTTTATTTACTGAACTCATAAAGAAGTTTTAAATAGTTAATTATTTAAAAAAATCATGATTGTGAACATTGTTTCAACTAAATAACGGGTTTAACGTTAAAAAAAAGTTTCTAATAAAAATGTTATTATTTTAATGTTGAATTTTTTTTTTTTTAAAGTCAAGTTAAAAAAAAATTATTATTAACTTTTAAAGAACAAGTATAATGTATAAATTTCAATAATCGGGCATCATCCCATCCTTTTATCTTCTTTCTATTTGGTTTAGTTGTATAATAATTAAACACTTGTTGAGTTATTACGTTCAGATAATTCATATAAGACTTGTAACTTGTTACAAAATTTAAACGCTATAAACTGACAAAAAAAATAAATATTAATTGGAAACTGGTTATCGGTGGCCAGTCATTTTTTTCATTCAATTATTATTACTTGAATGAGTGGTATATTATTATTATTTTTGATTTAAGTAAAATCGTCTTTACAATAAAATATCCAGGGTATTGATTTGTCATTGGTTACCGAATATTTTCGTTGTACTATAAAATAAAACCGATGATATTTACTTGGCTACTATTATTTCATACATAAATCGGTATTTAACAGCAAAATAATTAATCAATGCCTTTTATAGGTAATTAACAATACATTTTTATTTGTTCATTAAACCTTCAGGCAACATGCACTAGAGTTTTTTTTTTAACAAGCAAATTATTTGTATTTTATTTCAGAGAGAATAGCGGGATTTATTTTCCCGCCAGGTAAACTATACATTTTATACCATAAGGTTGAATAATTATCAGTTCGATAAAAGTGCCTTTTATCCAACGCTTAAATAAACAGCGCAGTGGCGCCTCTTTTAATAAAACATATTTTTTAGGGACCGAGGAGTTGATACGACGCGTGAATGAAAACGGTAATTTTTAAAATAATAATCAATAAAAACTAAATTAAAGAAGATTTTTTTCAACGATTTAAAATTAACTGATTTTATTTTACAGAACTTTAAAAAAAAAAAAACATAAGTTTTTAAATAGTTCATACTTTAAAAATATCATGATTGAAAACAAAAATGATCAAATGATTTTCTTTTCAGTAGTCGTATTAAAAAATATAATTGTTACCTAAAACAATAATTGATTAACAGTGATAATAAATAGGTAGACCGAGAAATTTTACATGTAATAACACAATTTAATGGGAATATAATATTTTGATTTTAGATCCAATATATCGTACAATATACAACAACGAACGGGCAATTCAACGAGAATTAGTAAGAATCCTAGGTAACTGTTTGTTTATTGTGTCTGTTAGAAAATAGTAGTCAATACTTTTAACGTTTAAAGACTTTAGGTTACTCATACTGCCGTTCTACAGTTTCTATTGAAAGTGGTATTATTCCAGTAAATCATGATTTTATTATAATACCCATCGACTTTTCTAAACCTTAAACAACTGTTCTTTTAGTAGCTACAAATACCAAGATTTTTTGTTGTCTCACACAATAATTACTAAAATCCTTATTAATATTTATAACCTAAATGATATTTTTTTTTAATTTTGTAATGCCATAAAAGCTTGATTGGATTTATATATGACTAAAACAATAACTTAAATGACATATATTTATATACATTTATTAAATTCTTAGTTGTAAATGTATTTTTTTTTTTTACAGGGTTTGAAAGACCTCGTTTTACTGGTAAGTATAACATGCTATATTTTGTAATTGGTACTATTCAAGTATATAAGTCAAGACTCCAGTACCTACTGTGTACTATAGGAATGGAAATAATATCCGGATTTATTATATATACATTTTACAATACACTGGGATCTTCGGATTCTAACTTTAGATCTTAAGATTAAATTCTTGTGTTAAATAAACGCTGGTCCGTTTACGTTTGATAATGGTAATAAACAACTTTTATTAAAACATGTAAAGAAATGATTATATCTGAAAAGCCAGATATAATCTGTTGAATTAGAATTTCAGTATCATCTCTACTGTGTACACAATAAAATATGGTCCATACAGGTATTTCAAAAAATTATTTACTCAAGAACAATGAAGGTAATATTTGCGAAAATATTATAGTTGGACAATGTACCTAAAAATAGACTTTAGACTAAATTAATAATGTTTAATTTAAATAGCTAAAACTTCTTATCTAGCAAAGGTATATGAAAGGTATAACGTTAATTATAAAAATTAAACTAAAGATATTGTCATTTATAATCTTATGTATAATATTATAGGCAGTAGTTCCTATAACACAGCAGTGATGAAGCGAAGATATCTTTTAAATTCAACATTCCATTATATTCTTAATGACAGATTGAGTAAGCATTTTTATGATATTTATTGCTACATTGAAAATGTCATTAAACTGAAATTTGGCGTTTAACTTATTCTATGAGTAATTAGTATGTATAAATACAAACAAAAAGTGTTAAGTATATATTTGAAAAAAAAACTTTAAATAAGTAGAACAATGTACTTTTTGAAAAATAATATGAACTTATTCCCAGAGTAACTGTTTTTAATTTCTTATTGTTTCTCGTCGTAAATGTATATAGTATTAAACGACTTTTTTTTTCTATTAAATTATGTTGTATGGTTTCAGAAAACGTTAAAATGTGTGCGAACAACGAAAGCATGAAATGTGCATTGGTCGGGCTAATCAAACGTACACTAAACTATCCATTAAAAAATAAATATGAATGTACTGATAACGGCAATTGCGTTATAACTGTTCGCGAATTTATTTCGGGTCCTGGTCGATCAATGCGTTTCAAAATACCAATACGAGAGAAGACATATCGAGATCACTTCGACACCAATCAAACATGTTATAAAACATTATTCTTAGACCCATCGAGTCGAGTACTCAAAGATTGGGATAATTCCAGAATAGAAGAAATAGTAGAATCACCCCCCTCGGACGAGGAGTAAATTTAATTGCATATTAACGTTGCTTGTATTTTTGATAAAATCGTTGTTTTAATTACTAAATGGTTCATATCAATAGATTTTTACAAACTAATAAGCTATTACAATCAATACTCTCGTTTTTTAGTCATTATATCATACAATAGCAAAACACCAGCACAGCAAAGACTGTTCAAGTACAGGGAAAATCACCGTTTCGACTACCACACACGGACACTTATATTGTCATACCCGTTTTCAGCTCACCACCATCTTCTGGATCGACCTTGTATCAGTTTATAAACTGTGGAGTTTACCAGTGTTTTTGATGTAAAGTATATCAAGCTTAATAGGTCTCTTAACCAAAACCTGTCAAAAAACACCCCCAAACTAAGTCTGTCCATAAATTTAACACATTTTTTGAAATTTAATTTATATTCTAAAAATAACTAATTGGTAACCGAATAAAAAAAAAAATACGAATCAAAAGAATTTAAAGTGTTATGTTTGGAAAAAATTGTCAACGAATTTTGTACTAGAGGTACTATCGCTAATAACGTTCGGCTCCTCTTAAAAGCTCTGTTTATTTGGATGGGAAGGAAGTTAGAAATAAAAAAAAATTAAGAAATTAGAAATTAAAAGTCTAAGACATTTAGATTTATAATTTAAATTTTTTCCATATTTATTAATTCAGTGATAAGGCGTTTTTATCGGAAGTCCATTATTTTTATCAGATTAAAAATAGCGCATATTTAAGAAATTTGTACGTCCAAAACGAATTACTTATACTAGTCGCTAGTTCTTTCTTTGGAGTGATTAAACGGAGTAATTTTGTATGCAATTATTTTATCTTTCTTAAAAATGCAATAATATTTTATGAAAACTGCATATATTATGATACATTAAATATATTGTATAATAGAATTCATCTTAGAAAATTTTAATGTTTTTAAACACAAACGATGTTTTATAATGATTTGCACATGCAGATATCAAGAATCAATATTTATTATTTATCTGGTACGAGCTTCTGAGTTATACGGAAAGTACCTTCTATAAAATCTAAAACGGAGTTTTACCATTTTACTACTAATCTATAATCACTATACACATTATAGTTTTTAAGTTATGCCTTCACTTTAAGTGATTTTCCACTAACAAGTGCAAACAGGTACACGTGCAAGTAGTTGCCAACAACGTTGTCGCAGCGACTTATCGGTATGGTTTTCGATGGTCAATATTGTTCGGTTTCTACTTGCACATATGCATGTTATTTTGCATACCCGGGTGTACCTGTTAAACGCTTGAATTGTGCCTTGTCAATTGAAAAACAGTACAATTGGTTGTCATCGATAGTCTGCTAGTGGACAAATAGTTGAACTGGATTCAGCTTGGCTGAAATCATTTTTTCTATGCGACCAATGCGGCTCAACATAGTGATTGACCACAGCTCAGAGTTGTATGAGTGTGTTTTCTTCATTTTGTTGGACACTAGTGTAAATCACACAGAACAGAACAGCTTAACAAAAAAAAAAAAAACCCAATGTGTGTGTGTACTCGGATTGAAGACGCGCGTTGAAAGTGAAACTTCTTTTGGTATTTTTTATGTTTTAAACAAAGATTTCAAAACAATTTAATATTATTATTAATTTTATTTCATCAAGGAAAACACAAGTACAATTCGATTTGTAAATACAAGTTCTTAGTTTATTTTTCTTGGGTTAAATGTTTTATTGTTGACATAATTACATTTTTGTGATTCTGTTGTGATTTAATGAGCAGGGCTGTATCTAAATAGGGCTCAAACCAAGCTATAACTATTATTACTATTAAATAGAAAAATATAGCATACCGTTAGGTAAGGTAGTATGTCATACCGCAATTAGTTAATTTTGAGAATGGTTTTAAAAGGAAAGGCGTTAAATTTGTTTAGTTTTGATCTTTAAACTATTTCTATGAAAAAAACAACTCTGTAAAACCTATACCTAACTATAAGGTTTTTCGTATTAATTGAAATACAGATAAATTCAAATTACAACAAGAGTTTAGATTATAAAACATTTTTAAAAAAGACCAACTTTCAAAAATTTCAATGTTTTGAATATTTTTTATTTGAACGTTTTTGGTGGTTTTCACAATATTTCAAGAATTATTTTTTCTGTCACGGTCTGGCCTAAAAATAAATGACCAGTTAAAAAAAAGTTGATTTCTAGGGTTGGCCTCCATTTTGAAGGAGAAGAGGTGTAAGTTGTTTACTTGTGTCCTTTATAATATGAATTCAAACCCTAGTTTTCATGATATAGACTAATAGTTTTGAATATTGTTTTTTGAACCTTTTTGAAGAATGAATTGTAAGCTAAAGACTGCATGAAGGCAAACCCTTGTTTTCATGATGTTGACCAATAGTTAACAATTGCCATACAACAAACGAGTAAGTCAAACCAAACAACACAAATGGTACACAAAAAAAGTATGTAGTTTTTTTTCAACGATTACAATAACAGTGATTTAATACATTAGTTTTGTCTTAAATAAATAATGTCTGTATACCTGCTGAACTTTATAGGCCAATTCAAATTGAAAATTATATTTGTGTTGTATGTAAATGCAATTACATTTGAAAACATTCTTATGTATAATATTACCGTTAAAACGAGATTTAATTGTATTACAAGTCCTAGTGCTAGCCAGTGTAATAGCTGTTATCATCAAGTTTTGCTTTTTCCAACGAAAGTGATGTTAAGTTTAATGATTTTGATTTATTCATTGTTTGGTTTACATCTAATTCCGAATTATACAGAGTGCACACCATCAGAGGTATACAATTTTTATTATAATTTAGAAACAACTGTAAAAAAAACAACTTTTTCAAACCATTAACCTTTAACTTTACCTTAACCTAAATCTAATCCAACACTAACCGAACTTTAGGCTTACCCTGATTTTACAACTATTAATAAAAATGTAATTTTATCCCTATCGAGATAATGTTTCACTATAATAAAAACTAATACTATTTTAACTGTAATTTATTATGTCTGCTAGCTTTATTATGTCTCGCACCGGTGTCCCAGCTCTGACAGCTGTGTACTTATTAATTATTATGAGCAATCTAAACTATTCTTAACTCGTTAATACGGTTAACGAGACGAAGTTTCTATATGTTGTAGGCGACTTCGAGTAAGATGGAATACCAATGGCGAATTCGCATTATTTGTCCCACCAGCAAATGTATGTGTTGTCAGAGAATCCGGCGGATTGTGCAGGCGGCCTAGAAATGTACACGCTGAAAATGAGAGAACTGAAATGCATTTACGGCAGAATCTTTCAGGGCATGTTCGACTATACGGATAGCGTACTGACGTGTGATAAGGACGTTACGGAAGCGTTGCCGGCGTTTGAAGAATTAAAAAAAAAAATCGCCAAAATGTTTTCCGCTCTGCTAGTGGCAAACGACCATGCGTACCCGTGGATGTGGCGCGTTTACTTCTTGCTGTACGCCATCGAAGGGTCAACGCTGACCGAGTTCGTTTCCAGTTACAAAACCGACACCGTGTTAAAAGGCAACATCTACACGTTTGTCGATTCGTGTACCGCGCAACATTACCTGCACCCGTCAAGTAACACAAACGCCGAACAGTATGTGATTGACAGTTTAACGGTGCAAGGTCAAAACCAATCGGACTACGCCTATCAAAATGCCAATTTTTTTGCATTGGACGAATTGTTACTTAAAGCATTTCGCACAGACTCCATGTTCGAGCGATCCCGAGTTAACGATTTCCAAGACAAGTTGAAAAAGCGACTGTTCGACGTTTGGGAGGCGCCGATGAGTGATTTCTACTCGAACCAGATCGATCTCGTCGATCACCACGACTTGATCGCCACGTTAATACAATGTTCCATTTGTCACTATGTTTGGATGCACTTGGACACGGTTAAAAAAGATCAATCAGTCGACGCCCAAACCGCTTTGGATGCGTTGGTGTCGCCCTTAAACGACGCCGTCAAGCTGTTGGATAACCACAGCAATGAGGTTTACAACGATTTGCTGTCGAAAATCCAGTCGGAAACAGTCAGTGCGGAAACTTTGCCGAGTCTTTTGGATAAGGCCAAAGAGAACTTTGGCAATCATTTTTCCTCGTTGAGCGTACACGGAGCGTCTTCAAACAACATAGAACTCATTGAAATGTTGACGAAAAAAAAAAGTAACTCTGATAAGAATACTGCTTCAATCTTTGCCTCTGGTTTAAAAAATTACTTAAAAAAACTCGGTAATTTTTCGTTCGAGTTGATTGATTTCTATAAATCAAGTACAGTTGAAAATAATTAAATAGTATATTAAAATAATAACATACATTTACAATGTATTAATATTTATTATATTTAAATAACTTGTAAAACATTATAAAATTATAATCAGAACCAAAAGTTATAATATTATTATAGAAATAAAAATATGTTAATATAGTGTATAATACGTCATATTATAAAAAAAATTAGAACCATATTTTAAATATTACATCATAACCTTTTTGGCCGTGCTAATAAAATATAAATGATATGTCAGATGTTGTTATTTTTGTGTAAACAATGCTCCACGGAAAACATTGAATCATAGATATGCTTTAACATTACAGGTCAATAATAATTGCATTTTATGAGGTACAAATTACAATTATTATACTAATACATTGATAGTTGTAAATTATGTTATGATTCATAAATTTGTTAGCATGAAAATAAACCGTTACAGACAATAGCATTACCATTATATACCATAATTATAATTAAGTAAACTATGTTTGTTCATAATAATTGTTGTCAAAATATATTGACGCAACCCTACAGGAACTATAACTGTACTATGATGTAAGACTGTATTATTTATTTATTAGTAGCAGCTGAACCGAGACTCACGCTTCAATGTAATATACATTGCTTTTGACTTAAAATTCAACCTTGAATTAAACTTCTACTTATTAGGTGAATATACATATATATATATGTATAGTTTGCAAAGTTGCAAAGTATGCAAAGTTTCCGCACTGACTGTTCCCGACTGGATTTTCGACAGCAAATCGTTGTA